TTGTAGTTTGGATAAAATTTTCACCAGAATCATTTAGGAGCATTTGATTGTAAGCAACAGATGCCCCAACCCAAGATGGCTTAGCAAAAATGAAACGTATAGCTTCATGTGCCTGAGATGTCCAGAGGTAGGACAGGTACAGCTTGATGTGGGTCAGATCTGAGACCAGAACTTGTATCTTCTCTGTCATCTTTCCAGATGGGATTCATTCTCAGGCAGTCTCTTCCCAGGTGTAACTCCAGATCTGAGCAACTCCATATCTGAACAACTCCATATCTGAGCTACTCCAGATCTGAGCAACTCCGTATCTGAACAACTCTGTATCTGAGCAACTCCATATCTGAACATCTCTGAAGCAGGTGGGACTCCCTAAGAGTTCAAAGATAAAGTCCCTATGTAAAGTTTCATTGACTATGGTTAACTTGAGTTGGGTCTGGTTCCCTCCTTTGAACCAATCCATATCCCAAGAGGAATGCAATGTGTGATTTCTAGGCCAGGGCAGCATCAACTTGGAAGGGGGTGGTGATACCTGAAATCAGCATTACCAGGATCAAAATATGGACAAGGGGTTAGAAAGGGGTGCTGACCCAAGAACTAAATCATGTGCACTTACCTAAAGTAGAATGAATGGATGCTCAGTGGCCCCCTCTCCTTAGGGAAAAAAGAAATAGTCAGCTTAACTTTTATGCAATGTATTTTTAAAATAGTCATGACAATGAACAGCACTTAACACTCTACTGATCCCCATGGCTGGCTTGGCTGATCTTGGATCCCTTTTTATATTTATCATCTCCTAGAATTGCACTACCTTGACTAAAGAAAGCAGGAGAACTATTCTTCCACAATAATATAGAATAAAATATTTAGGGGGCACTTACCTTTCAAGCCAGTAATGAATCTATCCAGGCCTAAATTTGTCCAACTGTGTCATAACTCACCCTACATATCTTTGTCTTGAAAAAAAATTTTGTTTTTTTGCCAGGTAACCCATAATTCTAAACACCTGCCAAAAGTCCACACAGACTCTCTGATGTCCTTCAGTCAACTCTGAGAATACCACTCTCCGTGTTCACAACTCTTTAAAATACATACTTTAAAATTTGTCACCCTAATATCACCGAGTTCCTATGCACCCTTCAAATGCCACCACCCCCCACATCAGAAATCATGACATAAAGAAAGACATAACATTTGTGCAAAGCTGCCCTCAGCAACGCAGTCCCAGCAGAGACATACCGAATGACGTTTTCCTGGGCCTGGCCAGGAAAAGAGTGTGGACCAAAAAGAAAACCTTCCAAAATAACATGTATTCACTGGAACAATATGAAATTGCCATTTTTTGTATCAACAATTTTAATGATCACAACTATACATAATAGGGCAGTGGTTTTCAAAGTGTGATTTACAGATTTCAGGGGAGGTTGGGGTGGGGAGTAAGGGTGTGTTCCAAAGATCCTTTCAAGAAGAACGTGAAGTCAAAATTGTTGTCATAAATAATAATACTAAGATGTTATTTGCCTTTTCACCATATTGACATTTGCACTGAGAAAAGCAATGAAAGTGAAAGTCGCTCAGTCACGTCTGACTCTTTGCGACCCCATGGCCCAGTCCATGGAATTCTCCAGGCCAGAATACTGGAGTGGGTAGCCTTTCTCTTCTCCAGGGGATCTTCCCAACCCAGGGATCAAACCCAGGTCTCCTGCATTGCAGGCGGATTCTTTACCAACTGAACCACAAAGGAAGCCCAAGAATACTGTAATGGATAGCCTATCCTTTCTCCAGCGGATCTTTCTGTCTCAGGAATCAAACTGGGGTCTCCTGCATTGCAGGCGGATTCTTTACCAACAGAGCTATCAGGGTAAACCCTGAGAAAAGCAATGGTGAGTAAAATTACAAGAGGCTGAACTTCCTTCATTAATTTATTTCAACTAAACAACATAATGCAACAGATTGAGTTTAGAAGCAGATATATGAATCCACCTATCCTTTTTTTTTTAATTGAAGTATCAGTTCAGTTCAGTTGCTCAGTCGTGTCTGATTCTTTGTGACCCCATGGACTGCAGCACACCAGGCTTCCCTGTCCATCACCAACTCCCGGAGCTTGCTCAAACTCATGTGCATCGACTCAGTGATGCCATCCAACCATCTCATTCTCTGTCATTCCTTTCTCCCCCTGCCTTCAATCTTTCCCAGCATCAGGGCCTTTTCCAGTAAGTCAGTTCTTCACATCAGGTGGCCAAAGTGTTGGAGCTTCAGAATCAGTATTAGTCCTTCCAATGAATATTCAGGATTGATTTTCTTTAGGATTGACTGGTTTGATCTCCTTGCAGTCCAAGGGACTCTCAAGAGTCTTCTCCAACACCACAGTTCAAAAGCACCAATTCTTCAGTGCTCAGCTTTCTTTATGGTCCAACTCTCACATGCGTACATGACTACTGGGAAAACCAAAGACTTGACCAGACAGTTGATGTACACTTGAAGTATACTTGAAGTATAATTGATTTATATATAGTTGAAGTAAATTGAAGTATAGCTGATTTATAATATTGTGCTCATTTCAGGTGTTCAGCAAAGTGATTTGTAGATAGGTATATATATATATGTATATATTGTTTTGTGTGCTCTAAAATTTTTACTTGAAGTAACTCACACTGTACAAATTGACCTGCTACAGTGAAGTGCACAGGCTCTGGATTAAGACTGACTCTGGATTCAAATCTTGACTGATGCTTCCTAGTTGTGTGATCTTGGGCAAGTCACTCAACTGCCTGTACCATACTTTCCTCATCTGTAAAATAGGAATAATACTTGTACTTATCCCATGGGATTGCTCTGAGTTTTAATATACAAGTTCCTAGGAACAGCATCTGGCACAGAGTAAGCACTATAAAAGTGTTTGCTCTCATTATTATGTCAGTCCTCTTGCTTTTTTCACTCATGATTTTTTTTTAACTTGTTTGTGTCAGATCTTAGTTAAGTCATGCAGGACTTCCGCTGCAGCATGCTGACTCTCTAGTTGTAACTCAGACTTAGCTGCTCCTTGGAATGTGTGATCTTAGTTCCTCAACAAGGGATCAAACCCACATCTCTTGCATTGCAAGGTGGATTCTTAACCACAGGACCAGCAGGGAAATCCCTTCACTCATGATTTTGAAGTCTATGAACCTTCATATGCATAGATGGAATAGGTTCTTGTTCGGTGCTGTATAGCATTCCATCACATAAACAAACATTCCACAGTTTCTTTTTATTTATTTATGGTCACACTGAGTCTTCATTGCTTTTGTGTGAACTTTCTCTAGTTGCAATGAGCGAGGGCTACTCTTTGTTGCAGTCCCAGGGCTTCTTACCTCGGTGGCTTCTGTTACTGTGGAGCACGGGCTCTGGGTGACCAGGCTTCACCAGTTGCAGCACACAGGCTCAGTAGTTGTGGCTCAGTTGTTCCTTGGAATGTGGAATATTCCCAGACCAAAGATGGAACCTACGTCCCCTGTGTTGGCAGGCAGATTCTTATCCACTGTGCCACTGGGGAGGTCCCCAAACATTCCACATTTTATAATTTCTCTGCTGCAAATATTGACAATGATAAGCTTCTTTATACTTGTAGATGTTCATAAGTTTATAACATCAAAAATCTCCTCAGATGACTAATTTTCTCCAGTGAGGCTCACCTCTGTGGTAGGCAGAATAACAGTTAAAGGATGTCTCAGTCCTCATTCCTAGGACTTGTTAATATGTTAAATTATGTGACAAAGAGTAAGTAAGATTGCAGATAGAATTATGGTTGGTTAGAATTAGAATGGAGACATTATCCTGGATTATCCATCCAGATGGGCTTCCGTGGTGGCTCAGTGGTAAAGAATTCACCTGCCAATGCAGGAGATGTGGGTTTGATCCCTGGGTCGGGAAGATCCCCTGGAGAAGGAAAGGGCAACCCACTCCAGCTTTCTTGCCTGGGAAATCTCATAGACAGAGGAACCTGGTAGGTTACAGTCCATGGGGTCTCAAAAGAGTCGGATCCATCATAGCAACTAAACAACAACAGCAATCCATCCAGGTAAACCGAATGTAATCACAAGAGTCCTTATGAGTGGAAGACGGAGATGGAAGAGAGAGAGAACTACAGGTCTTGTGTATACAGAAGACTTGGCCTGGCACTGCTGGCTCTTAAGATAGAGAAAGGGGCCACAAGCCAAGAAAGATAGTCAGTATTCAGAAGCTAGAAAAGGCAAGAAAATAGATTCTCCTCTAGTTCCTCCAGAAGGAACATAGTCATACCACTTCTTGATTATAGTGGTGTCAGACTTCTGACCTCGAGAACGCTAAAATAATACATTCATATGTATTAAGCTAGTATACTCCTGTGCTCATATATTATAGCAGCATGAGAAAAGAAACTGGCTCTAAACGGTGGCTCTGTGGTAAAGAATCCGTCTGCCAATGCAGAAGGTGTGGGTTTGATCAGGAAGATCCCCTGGAGAAGGAAATGGCAACCCACTCCAGGATTCTTGCCTGGAGCATCCCATAGACAGAGGAGACCCGAGGGCTACAGTCCACGGTATCGCAAAGAGTTGGACACGACTCAGCAACTGAGCATGCAAGCACAGCCGGATAGAGAAGGGCTGACATTTGGGGTTTGTCATGCACATGTGAAATGGACGTATGAAATGACAGTCCTTGGAACTTCAACCGGATGGGAAGAGGGAAGGAAGTGAGGATTAGCGAAGGGAGCCTAGCAGCTGCTGAGGCTGCAGCACAAGTGTAGTGGGTGTCGCTGGGAGGAAACCAGAGGTCCAAACAGATGGGGCCTCATGGGCTGACAGGGATCTGAGAGTGACCTTGGAGCAGGTGGCCAAGGACAAGAAAGCGGAAGATCACGGAGAAAGCAAAGGTGCGGGTGAGGGAATTCAGAGCTCCGGTGAGGGGCAGGGAAATGAGTTGCAGAAGCCGGTTCCTATGCAAACTCCCGGAAGTCCTCACATCGCCGGGAGGACACTGTGCCTGCAGCGGGGTAGGGATGCGATGGGCGTGATCGTACAGGTGTGAGCCCAGTGTCCAGGTACGCCGCGGGGCAGGGTGGAGCATGTATGTGCATGTATGTGCTGCTGGGATAGTGGTCTGTCTGGGAACACGAGGAGGACGGATGACGGGGTCTGTGTGTACGGATTTGTGCCACGCATCTGGATGTGTGGAGGGAGAATGCGGGGGGTGTGCGCAAGGGTTTGGGTGGGATGAGCTGGGCAGACCTGGATGTGGACTCGGGTACAAAGGGAGCGCGCGAGGCCGGAGCTCGTCTGGGGGCAGAGGGAGAAAGAAGGGCCGCGGGGAGCCGGGCGGTGCGGTGGCCCGGCAGTCGGCCCCGCCAAGCCCCGCCCGCCGCGCTCCGGGCTTCCCCGCCCCGCCGCCCGCTCCCTCCCCGTCCAT